GCATTTATTTTCAAATATTTAATTTTATACTGGTCGAACTTACATAATACTTATATCTAAAAATACCATATATATTAGGAACTTAGTGTAAAACTACTGTGAGCAGTATTATAATATCTAAGTTATAAATAAAAATAAATTAAAGTAAATGGTTGTTTTAATTAAAAGTAGAAACTTACAGAAAATACCTTAAAATCCTAATAACTTTAAAAAATTTTTTAATATTAATAAATCTTTGGTTTACGCTTTAAAGATTATTCATCTGACTACTTTAACGGAATTCGTATTATATTTTCTCAAATTTTTTTTAGTCATTGCATACTGACGAATTTGTTTAAAAAGATAAGGTATGTTTTTGTTATGGAGTAATTTATTTTTGAGCAATTCATTATTTCTCTCTTTGTTGTTTTTTTAGTTGTGTACAATATAAATCTAAAATTATGTCTATTTTTTCCCAATATGTCTACGATTGATTGGTTGAGTGCACACAAAAGAAATTGCCAGTAAGACCACCAATTCGATTATTTCTGAAGCTTATGCTTGTTTTCCTTTTAAATCTTTATAAATGTGAATTTAACATATGTTTGTTTAATGGAAGCTTAAGTGTCCAGTTTTTCATTGGAAATATGATTTCTTCATAAATCAGTATAATATTTTCCAAGTCTAAACATTGTTCCAGTGGATAATCAATCTTAAATATTGTCATCAACTTACAGCTGCAAAATGTGAAGAACCCAATGGGCAATTCTATCCATCCATAAACATACATATGAAAAAGAAAACAAAGTGCGATCAAGAAGCGACATCTTGAGCATGTGTGGTTGGTTGGGTGGGTTGGGTCCGAATCGGCACTCAAGTCGGTGAACAGAGCACAGTTCATATAACATATCCACATATAGTATGCCGCACACTGATGACTTGGGAGGCTTATAAAAGAACGCGTATCGCTCAGTTTCGGTTAGTTGACTCCCAGCTGTGTCGCATCACAGACAAGTGCTAGGACTTTCGTACATTAAATCTGCTGTGTTAAAGTTCGTCTAAACTTATTTATCAAAATGGTAAGGATTTTTAGAAGGAGGAGCAGGAGGATTCCATTGGGTTTCTAGAATTTTAGCAAACTAAATAAGATCCTTGAAGAATCTTCAAAGTCCGGGAAAGTGACATCTAATAAATTTGTATTCTTTAAAGTGTTTCTCCAAAGTTTTACTATCACCATTCAAATTAAAAAAAATATTTAAGACTTAAAATTAAACGTCTTTAAAATTCTCGAAAAAAATTGTCAATTCTTGGTGATATGTTGTTTGTTTTTCAACTTAATAAGTTTACAAATTAGAGTTATCAAAAATGTTTCTGGCAGATGGTCAAATAATCTTTTGCTGTTTTGCTGTCACAAACAATTATTCGAAAGCGGATATCCCACATGAGACTTCTTAACTTTTTAAATTTCAACGACATGAGTCATACAAAGTACTTTATCATTTTCTAGAGGGAATGTATTTCTGTACACATTGGACAAGCTGGCGTCCAGATCGGTAATGCCTGCTGGGAGCTTTACTGCCTGGAGCACGGCATCCAGCCCGATGGCCATATGCCCTCCGATAAAACCGTGGGCGGCGGCGATGACTCCTTCAGCACCTTCTTCAGCGAGACAGGAGCTGGCAAGCATGTGCCCCGCGCCGTGTTCGTGGATCTGGAGCCCACTGTGGTGGACGAGGTCCGCACCGGAACCTATCGCCAGCTGTTCCACCCGGAGCAACTGATCACCGGCAAGGAGGATGCCGCCAACAACTACGCCCGAGGCCACTACACCATCGGCAAGGAGATTGTCGACGTGGTTCTGGACAGGATTCGCAAGCTGGCGGATCAGTGCACGGGACTACAGGGATTCCTGGTCTTCCACTCATTCGGTGGAGGTACTGGCTCCGGTTTCACCTCGCTGCTGATGGAGCGCCTTTCCGTCGACTATGGAAAGAAATCGAAGCTCGAGTTCTCGATTTACCCGGCCCCACAAGTGAGTTTATTTATCAAGAAATTTGAGAAGCTTTTAGATTTAGATCCTAATAATAAAAGAGAATAACCCAGCCCTTTCGAAACCAGTTTAATCTGAAAAATTAATTAATTAACTAATATTAGAGCTTAGGAAATGAGTCTTGAAGCTATCATTTCATTAATGGATCCCAAACTTCCTGTCAGGTCTCCACAGCTGTCGTCGAGCCGTACAATTCGATCTTAACCACCCACACGACGCTGGAGCACTCGGATTGTGCATTTATGGTCGACAACGAGGCGATCTACGACATCTGCCGCCGCAACTTGGATATCGAGCGACCCACCTACTTGAATCTCAATCGCCTAATTGGCCAGATAGTTTCCTCCATCACGGCCTCGTTGCGCTTCGATGGCGCCCTCAATGTGGATCTGACCGAGTTCCAGACCAATTTGGTGCCCTACCCACGCATCCATTTCCCGCTGGCGACATACGCGCCCGTCATTTCCGTGGAGAAGGCCTACCACGAGCAGCTGACCGTGGCCGAGATCACCAATGCCTGCTTCGAACCGGCCAACCAGATGGTCAAGTGTGATCCCCGGCGTGGCAAGTACATGGCCTGCTGCATGCTCTACCGCGGCGATGTGGTGCCCAAGGATGTGAACGCAGCGATTGCCACCATCAAGACGAAGCGCTCCATTCAGTTTGTCGACTGGTGTCCCACCGGCTTCAAGGTGGGCATCAACTACCAGCCACCCACCGTGGTGCCTGGCGGAGATCTGGCCAAGGTGCAGCGCGCCGTCTGCATGCTGTCCAACACCACGGCCATTGCCGAGGCCTGGGCCCGTCTGGACCACAAGTTCGATCTGATGTACGCCAAGAGGGCCTTCGTCCACTGGTACGTGGGCGAGGGCATGGAGGAGGGCGAGTTCGCCGAGGCCCGCGAGGATCTGGCCGCCCTCGAGAAGGACTACGAGGAGGTGGGCATCGACTCCACCACCGAGCTGGGAGAGGACGAGGAGTACTAAGCCGTCCTGGAGCAACACACTAGAATTCCCTAACGGTCCTGCAAACTCTTAAAACATCACTTTGTTTCCACAAAATGCCACAGCATCAACTCTCGCAATAAAAAAGTTTAACACAAAGGTCTTTTATTTTTATATTTTTAACTGGGGCTATAAAGTTGGAAATACTGAATACTAAGCTTTAACTTAATTATATTAATTTTTAAATGGTTTTAGGAATTGAGCATACCTATATTTTGGAAAATATGTAAATATTCCCATATTCCCTACCCAGAATGCAGGCTTTATTTTGTTCACTTTATTATTATTATTTTATTAAGCCAAGGATCAACAATCTTTGGTACACAATTGATTAAATAAACTTGATGATTTTAAAGTTATTAAACTTTTTAAATCGTTTAGTGTGATGGGGGTCCCAAATTCGCTTTTCTAAACGCATGCGCAAAAATGTGTACACATAATTTTTCGCAAATTCAGTAATCAGAGACGTGCCATTGTAGGAGAAGCTGCGGAAAAATCCTAGGATAGTTGCCCAAATCTATTTTAGTTTATAATATTGTGAAAATTTGTATTCAAAATCTGTCTTATCATTAAATATACATAAATTGTTGATTGGAAACCTTAGTGAATGTTATTTAATTGTAAATGCACATAGAAATTTGCACACCCTTTTGTCTGCAAAATTCTATGTGCATGTATGTATTCGTAAAGCGGAGTCTAGTCTACTAAGTTATTTAAGATATAGTTAAGAAATCCAAAAGCAAGATAATTTGTAAGAAATTTATCTTTAAATTGTACCTACACACAAATTTTATAATACAACATACATATGAGATATGAATATTTTCCTTACTCATATACCCTTATGAAAAAATCAATGCTCGCATTGATGTAGGTACATTCAAACAATCTAAACATTTTAATAATCGTTTATAACAATAGATACAAGAAATAACTATATAGTCGAGAGCGCCGACTATGATACTTCTTACCATATTGCCATATACTGTATTAATATATTTATCTATCTTTACAGGAGCACATATATACCATACATATATATACTAAGTATCATTAATTCCAGCATCAAAGAAAATGGTCAATAATAAAAATTATTATTATTAATCACGTTCTAAGATGGGAAATACATCAAATTTTAACTAATGGGTAATTTCTAATCATTTGTATATTCTAATAATATTTAATACCATGTTTTATTCAGGATTACTTTAAAACTTTACACACTATAGGAATCACCTTGACAATATTTTCTCTTCTTTCAGAAGTGGTTTTATCCAATAAGGCTTTAAGGCCAAAATATCCATCCCACGTTAATCGGCTTGTCCGTTTGATTGTCTGTCCGTCCGTTTGTACAACCGTCTGTCGGTCTGATGTATATAAGGCCTTTAATGAAGATCCTTTGGCCTTCCTGCACTTATGATTACTTCCCAAACACTAATAAATCCTCTAAATTTAAACACTCTATACAAATGTTTATTAATATATTATAATATTTTCCAACATTATTAAAACATTTATCGTTACAGATTATCTGCAGACGGATTTTCAGATCGCTGTTGCATCTGAATTGGTGTATATTTAATCGAGAATTAAATATGCATCAAATCAATGCGAAGGAAAATTTCCATAGGGCTTAAAATAATGAGTTTGTGGTGAATTTATATTTTGGTTAGCTTCACAGGGTAATACGTCGGGTTTGTAAAAAGTAGCTGGTGGTCATTACCATGATGTTCTTCAAGATAAATAGACAAATGGACACATGGTATTCAGTCATTATTAAATAGCTTCTTCGGATTCGGAGTTTAAATGAAAAAGTTCAGAATTCTAAAACAAATTAGTAATTGTAATAACAGCCCTGCTAACTTTTTTCGCCATCGACATAAAAGAGATCATTTATGTAAAATTGCAGTTATATCCGTAGATTCTTACTGCAAGGTTTGAGGTTCAAATGTAAGATAAGGGTTCAACCGTAATGATTGTAAATTTCAGTATCTAAACATGCATCGGATACATGATGACGAATATCCCGAAGATGTTAAGGATTCCGACTTTAAGGGATCAGTTCAGAAGGAAATATCGGTGAAGTCGCGTCATCAAATTTCCATACCAGATATTTGCTCAGATGCCGTTAAGAATAACTGTTTTCCGCCGACAGGCTTTCTGAATAACTCGATCGCCTTTGCCTCTCACGTAGTCAAGTGCAGTTCCCCGGCCTCGAGCATAGATGAATCCTCATCGACGGCTCAGCACGAATCCAATCCCCACATGCACATACAGGGTCAACATATGATGGCTCCCGTTCCCGATCTTGGGTTCTACAATGTTCCCGAGTTCATTTCGGAACAGGAAAAGCTCATGTTTTCCGATGCCGAAAGGTTTTTAAGGTCAAAAGATAATGAAGTGTGCAGCAATGACTTTAGCTATATGCATGACGAGTTCGCCATGCGCAAGTACTATCATCCTCTATTTGCACATGGCATATGCCGTTGGCCCGGTTGCGAAATGGATTTGGAAGATATCACATCATTTGTCAAGTAGGTGATATATAAGAAAGAGATATAAAGAAATGTTGGAGATAAAACAAACTCCTTTCTAGACATCTGAATACTGAGCACGGCTTGGATGATCGATCGACCGCTCAAGCTCGAGTTCAAATGCAAGTAGTCTCCCAGCTGGAATCCCACCTTCAAAAGGAACGAGATCGCTTGCAGGCCATGATGCATCACTTGTATTTATCTAAGCAACTTTTATCACCCACCAAAATAGACAGGAAGGTCAGTCCTCCTTATTATTTTAATCCAAATAATTTTAGTTTTATGAAAAACACTTAATTTTAGGACGTTCCCGGAAGAGATGGAAAGTTTTGCCGAAGTCCGCTCACAATAAATAGCATAGGTCGACCCATCCGCCAAACCAATTCTCCGAGCCCGCTTAATCTTCCAACGGTAAACTCCACCAACTTATGCTCCATCAAAAAAAGAAGCCACGACAAAAACTCATTTTCCATAAATGGTGGTATGTGTAGAATATTCCTGATAAAATATGGTGATTAATGATTATTCTATTTAAGGTTTACCCTATATGCTTGAAAGAGCAGGACTTGATGTACAGCAGGGTAAGTAAAATAGATAGACTAATCAACTGATCAACATTATATGATGTGCTTCTGGAAGGCATATAATAAGAATTTAAATTTGCAGAGATTCATCGAAATAGAGAATTTTACAAAAATGCTGATGTACGACCGCCTTTTACTTATGCTTCCCTCATAAGACAGGTAATTTAAAATGTGTATGATTACTTTATAGGCAAAATTGAAGAGACTTAATTACCGAACGCCTCACATATTATATTACTTTCTCCCATCTATTTCCAGTCCATTATCGACTCCCCTGATAAGCAGCTAACCCTTAACGAAATTTATAATTGGTTCCAAAATACCTTTTGCTATTTCCGGCGTAACGCAGCTACGTGGAAGGTAATATAGATTTTTTCCATTTTTCATTACAATTTTTTAATCACTAATAGATAAGTATTTAATAATTAAGAAATTATATATCTATTGTCCGTCCGTTCTTTTGTCCGTCTGTCCGATTGGCTTGTCCGCTAAATGTTTTCTCCCCATTTTCCGTATGACAATCTTTGGCAATCAAATAGAAATATATATAATAGTTATCTCTGATAAGGTAAGATCTCGAGATATAGTTTTAATTGTTTTATTCATTACTTATTAAGGTAGTGTAAAACATAAAGTCTGGCCAATGCTAACTGATATTATACACCATTAGAACGCAGTTCGGCACAATCTGTCCCTTCATAAATGCTTTATGCGAGTTGAGAATGTGAAAGGAGCAGTTTGGACTGTTGACGAAATTGAGTTTTACAAAAGACGACCACAGCGAACTGCTGGCATTGGTAACAACTTAGCAGGTGCTACCAATTCGCCGGACTCTAACTATTTTGTAGCCATGAACATTGGGTATGTGGGTCTCAACTAGTCTAATACTTACTTTGCTCCACACTCCTTCCATTTTGCTCTGTTAGTAAATATATGCCACTAAAAATGCATGCTTTAACCGATATGATGTCATTATACGATTTTTTACAGCCGTTATTGTGGGGCCTTACCCTGATTATTATCCCCAAATGGTGTCTGTCTGATCATAAGTTTATCTGTCCGTCCGTGATTTTAGCTAATGAAGATTATTAGGGCTAGGAAAAATGGATCAAAGTGATGCGGAATAGATTAACAAGCCAAATAAACTAACTAACTTTTCTCAACGAACTTTTTCTTCCTTTCACGATAATGCTTTTTCCTGTATATCACTCTTGTTGGGGCTCCTTGGCTTATCCAACAAATAATAAAGAATGCGATACGTACGAATCTATCATTGCACAAGTGCTTCGTACGTTATGAAGATGACTTTGGCTCGTTTTGGATGGTCGACGATAATGAGTTTGTCAAGAGGCGGCACTTGTCGAGAGGGCGGCCTCGAAAATATGATCCCTCCTCCTCCCCAAATTCGTGCCAATCTGGCAATGGTGTGTCTACTGACAAAAATCCCTGCGACAATTGTCCCCAACATTGCTCGAGTTTGACCCCGGGGTCTGAAAATCCCCTAGATCCGAACAATCCAAATGATATCGGGCGAATTGGTTGTCTTCCGTTTTGCGGAAGTGATGGTTTAAGTAAGGTGTCCAAGGACTATAGCAATATTGATTCGGGTATGGTCGAAAGTAACAGCCATTTAGCAATGGATGAGTACTCTACTAACATGTACGAGAGTAGTGCCAATGAGCATAATCGATAAATGTATCACTAATATTATTTATTTAGATGCATTGTCGACATATCTGCGTATTTTAGATCAAAAGGTTCGGATTCGGAAATTATACTTGTACATACACATAGTTCTAAGTATAATTTCCCTATTAGAAGATAATAAAAACATACTTTTAAAATAAATTACACTATTGCAATAAAATAAATAAAACGTTCTGTAAATTATTACAGCAGAATTCATTCTTCAATTCTGCTTTAATAACTCAAGGAATCGAAACACATAAATTCTTTCTACAATGAACAGTGTTAAGGTTTTCAGTTTTACTTTTGCTAAAAGAAGGAACTACTCCCAGGCGTAAGTAGGTAACGGTCATGTTTATCTCCAAGTTTCTGTATCGGTAATTATTTTTTCGGCCTTTGTGCTTTACTAACATTTTTATGTTTTTTTTTCAGATCAATATTGAAACTGAAAGCCATATAATAAAAAATGCTTTGCCACAAAACAATTCAACTCTTTTTTATTCAATGACCCTAAACAGATTAAAACATTTTTAGGTTAATAAAATGTAAAGCGTTGAATTAATTTTTGTTGGAAAGTTTATACATTTATTAGGGGGCATTCGATTTTCTAGCCCTCCTTTTAAATTAAAACTGTTGGTATTTTTCGGTATTTTGTGCGGTTTATTTTAACGGTCCAATATCTTAACATTTCTGTTAAAAAACACTGCACTTAACATTTTAGGGATGTGGAAACACCGATAGTCACATCGATGTTTTTAGACATCGATCCATCGGTGGTTCTATCGACGTTGCGCCACCTCTAGTCGATCAACGTTTTTTTGTGACATGAAAATTCAACGAGGACACTGTGTACATGAATAATTAAAAAATTAAAATGGTTTCCATGCAATTTGTTTTGCAACCGCTTCCGGGCTCGGACGACCAGTTCATTGAAAGGTAAATATACGGCTGGGGCTCCGCAATTACGCACATGTGAACGCGGAATTCCGTGTAATTGTGTACGTACGGCTGCATGTATTTGTTATGTGAAAATATGTAGGTACACAGGTATATGTGCACGCAGGAAGATATGTACATGGCCATTAACGCGAAATGTGAGCGCAGACACTGGCGGATTTGCCGCATCTAGTATTGTCCACGCGATTCTGTAAACATTGGCCATAGAATTTGCGAAATGCACTTGGCGACTCCCGATTTTCAGCCATTAATGTTCTAACACAGCCATATATGTATGTATGTTTGTGTGGGACATGTGAACTTTCGCTTGTGTGCGTTCATGTGCATACATGCTGATTAAATTGCCCACTTTTAACAAATAATTCCGAGTCTTAAATGTTTATAACATGTTCTGTATGGGAAGAGTACATAAATGACCATGTTTCCGGCAAACATTTAGTATTAACATATTTGCACATGGCTTTGTAGATATGTAAGACTTCTCTGAAAAGTGGTTCCACCAGCACATGGTAATGAAATGTAGTGTTTTTCCATAACCCACAAACTTTACACGCCAGAAACCCAACCACCGGCTTTGCCGTGGGCATTGTAATGTAAAATATATCCAAAAGTTGCGAATTTTCCAGCTGTCAGCCATAGCTTGTCTAAATAGTCTGGCAAGGCCGGAAATCAACCACATAAACGAACCCTAAAAGTAGGAGGTTTTTAACATGCCTGGACTTGCTTGAAAAAAATCCTATTCTAAAGAAAACATTATTTTTAATCTCTTTATAGAATTCGTGAAGTGTCGGAAAAAGTCAACAGATTTGGTTATGGTACCCATCGCATATTCGAGCAGTTGAAAATTCCGGTAAGGGAAGTGGTCATTGGACCCACGCACATTGGAGTTTTGCTGGAGGATGGAAAGGCGTTCCGCGTGTCATTTTCCATCAACTCGGAAAAACTTGACTTAACAAAACAGGACGCAAAATGGTAAGCAAAAATTATTCTTCTGCTTTATACATATATATACTTATTACGAGGTTTCTTTTAAGTTCCACAAGTGGTGGCGGCGGAACTGCCAGTGCCTCAAAAGCCCCCTCCTCCTCCCGACCGATGGCCCGGTCCAGGGCACGACTCCTGCGCGCCACAGGACGCTCCAGTTCCACCGGCCAGGGTTCCGGATCGCGCAGCACTGGCGTGATTATCGGCGGCAGCACATCGAGCCGACCCTTGGTCACAGTTCCGGCCACATATGTGCCGGAGGAGCTTATATCTCAGGCGGAGGTGGTTCTACAGGGCAAGAGCAGAAATCTCATTATTAGAGAGTTGCAGGTATGTCCCAAGAACACCAAACCCCATATAAGATGATGAAATAACAAAATCTTTCCTCTTACAGCGCACCAATTTAGATGTCAACTTAGCTGTGAACAATTTGCTTTCCCGCGACGACGAGGAAGCCGAAGATACCGAGGAGGGTGCCGATAACTACGTGCCTGAAGACCTTATCTCTCTGCTGGATAATGGCTTTAGCGGAGATAACAACAGCGTCATCATCGATCCCTCAGATGGTCTTTTTTCGGAGGAGATATTCAGCAATTACTCCAGCATTCGGAAGTAAGTGAAACCTTTGTTGTCTTTATCTATCCTAACTAATAATACCTTTTTCCAGCCTGCTGTTCGATCGCATTCGCAGTGAACGCAGTAATGCCAACGCAAATGCCGCAGATAGTAATCAATCGACCCGCTCCACAACTTCGGGCGCGGCTTTAACAGGCAGCAGTGGACTATCGGCTCAAATATCGGTTAACGCCGATCGGGAAGCCTTTAGCCGTTGGCGGGATCGTCAGTACTACGGACCACGACGCTGGATTAGCAAAGACGACTACACTTGGGAGAAGGATGCTGGTAAGTGTATGAAAAACGACCATCACTTCCGACACTGACCCACATTTCCGTACAGATTCAAAGAAAAAGGAGCCATCACCAATGCTTTCTCCCATATGGATATCGGAAGAACTGCAGCCATGGCCGGAGAAAAGTTCCGTAAGATTTAAGACCATAGGCGCCTTATACTCGGAGTTTATTGCCTTGTCGGAGAGCGGAGATTTATACCAGTGGCGTTGGGCGGATGCAGAGCCCTACAAGTCGGAGGTAAGTTAAGGAAATAAATATTAAAAAACCATCTCTAAGTTATTTACTTATCTAAACCATTAATTATTTGTTTTATTTTACAGACGGACAACGTTTATCATCCCAAAACGGCGGCCCTCAACATAACTGAAAAAGTGGAGCTCATTTCGGCCAACTTTATCAGATGTTCCGTGGTCACAGAAACCAATCGCGTGGCGACTTGGATGGACGAGCAGCTCGGTTACCTCGGTGCCAAGCTAGAGCACAATTCCTGCTCCTTCAACGAGTTTATATCGGACCCCATAACAAAGATCTATGTCTGCTCGCTGTACACGGTTGTCAAAACCGACAGCAACAACATCTACTGGTGGGGAGTGCTGCCGTTCGATCAACGACGTTACTTGTGGGACAAATTCCGGACAAAGACCAAGAAGCCCTTCAAGGTGGTGGCCACCGATATTAATGTGGGCGCTCAAGTGATAATGAAGAAGTGCCCCATCTATCAATCTGGATCCATCGGATTCACGTGTTCCAATGGCGTGCCGAAGGTTGGACAGCTTTTGAATTCGGTTTGGAACTTCACCGACGTGTGCCGCATGAAAATCATAAATATTAACACCAATTCCGGCGTGGACAAAACTCAAACAGCTGGCATTAACCTAAATGCCCATGGAATTGCACCGGATAAGGATGCGCCAAAGGCCACGACCATCCCAAGCACTGGAAGTAGCAAGAATGGGCAGTCCTTCTCAAATAGCAAGGAGTCGACGGATCGCATTGATATGCCACCTCCGCCGTCGCCGGCATCCAGCACTTGCAGCGACACAGGCAGCGTTACGTCGCACAAACGCACCAAGCGAGTGACCACAAAAGAGGATTCCAATGCCCCTCAGGAGGGCAGAAAGGATGAAGAGCTGTGGCAGCTGAAGGATGTGGTGTTTGTCGAGGACAAAGTGGGCCCAGTGGGCAAGGTTCTTAAGGTGGACGGTGACTTTGTGGCCGTACGATTTCCGGCAATGAATCCGGCAGCCGCTGCTGTTGCTGCTGCTGCTGCCGCCACCGCAAGCTCCTCCTCCAATGCAGCCTCCACATCCTCCTCGTCCTCCAAGGAGGAGGGCAAGGAGGACGACTGGCAGCAGTGTCGCCTGCTGCGTCGCGAAGATGTCCAGATATTCCGCACTGCTATGTCTACCCGCGGTCCCGACTGGCTGCAGAAGCAGCCAAAGAAGATCAACGTTGGTGCCGATGCCGCTGGCACCCAGTTGCTCACCCTGGCCGTGGACTCGCGCGGCATCCATGTGATCAAGAAGGTGCTGGGCAAAATCCACTATAGCCTTTACAACTTGTATAACAGCAAACAGGAACAGAATTGCCTGTTCCCCACGGACTGTGCCTCTTTTATTGGCTCCTCGCCCGCTAACATTTTAATGGCCTGCAACAACGACTGCAGCGGAAACAGCAGCACAATTGTGCTGAGGGATGGCAATGGAGCCTTGTACCCCCTGGCCAAGGATTGCCTCGGTTCGATCAA